TCCTGGGTGATGGTTGCCGTGGAAAACTGCACCTTGACTTGAGCGAACCACACGTCAGGCGCCTCTGCTCAAAACGGCGGAAGTTTGACGGCGACGCGACAAACGTCCGTGTTGGTGGTGGCCACAGCAATGGAGGCGCCCGAGGTGGCAGGGACCGCTGGAGCGAAGTTTTGAGGGGGCGTGACCCAAGTGGGGTGGTAAACGGTCGTCAGACGAGAGTGCTTCATTTTCATTGCGGTGCTGCTGTTCCCAGAGCTGCTGCTCTTGGTTCTTGATCACTTGCTGCTGGGCCTGCAGTTGTTGTTGCAGTTGTTGTGCTTGTTGTTGAAGGGCAGCAAGGGTTTCCTCGTAGGCCATGGCGGTGCGGTACGTTCGTTTTCCGGGTCACCAGATGTGGGATAACATAACTTTAATGTTTCCGCACTGAAGGTTCTACAACGACTGCCCCTGAATCGGGGCACACACACAGTTTTCTTGCTTATTTCGGGCGAGAGTATTGTTATCGCTGGCGCCCAGGTTTGGAGGCATCGCCGCGACGCGCAGGCGCAGATGCGGCGCCGACCCGTTTCGCCACACAGTTCTTTTTTTCTTTTACCTCGGCCCAACTCTTCCTCCTCGCTCATTGCTGAATAGTATTCCAAATGTCGCTGAATTTCTAATGCCTTCTCATAAGTTTCTGAAAAATATACATATCAGTGCAGGGAACACAAGAAGCATAATTGCAATCATACCAGCCCAGCCTTTCACCACACAATTGGTTTGCTCCCAGTTAGATGATGGTGTTGCTCCTTCGGTGATGGCGTGAAGAAGCTTTGTAGAACTTTTTATGATTGGCCAATGCATCTGATTTCTACTCTTAATAAGCCATGATGCATGCACAACAGCCAAGCTGTCGTCTTCTTCAGAGAATTCTACCACGGCAAATCTGCCAACTCAAGATACATGAAGAAGCAAAACATAATAAAACACACAAGCGAGACATCTAAGAAAAGCAACAAGCAACACAAAAGAGAGCGATGTACAAACCGTAACTAGCTTATGCAGCTTCATTCCATGCTTTTCTTTGTTACTAGTAGCTCAAGGTTACATTAAAGCTGATTTAATAGGTTAAATGTACTGAAGTTTTGTACAGGATAGAAAGAACCTAACTGTAGCCACACTTCTGATAATGGCAGACTGCTGTGCTTGGAAAGAACACATGCCTTTTAAAAATAGTATAAAGTTAGAAGCAGCTAGTGAAAGGGCATGAAGTAAAATTATAAAGCGTAACTATAACTCTAACAAATATCACTGCATGTGTCTCATTGGAAATGCAGCATACTTTCTCCTGAAAGGCAGCCTGACACATTTCAGTGGGATATCTGAAACAGGCCAGAAGCAGAGCTCTGAAAGCTTGGAAGCTAAAAATATGTTCATGAAAGAGGAGTTGCATGGATAAGTGTAAAGGCCTTCCAATTTCTCATACTTTCTTCTAATAAGCACAGGCTCTAGGCTAACATCACTAATTGCAAAGTTCTCCATTTTGACAACACTATTATCATGTAACATGCACGTGCAGTCTTTCTTGTTCGCTTTTACAGGGACATGTTGGGAGAACTTGAAACCTTTGAATTGAGGTCCTACAGAACCTAGTGGAAGCAGTCAATTATAATGCCTTAAAAGCAGCTTTTGAGGTTCTGTGAAGCTTCCATTGCTTGGATTTTTAGCAACGGAACTTTCTGATCTGCCAACCATGCCAGCCAATGTTCGCTCTTCCATAATTCCATTGTAAAGCTGATGGAGGGGCTTTTCGGCCTTTCTGACATACTTTTTGAGACTAGGCATGTAGTTTTCAAAAGGGAAAGCACTGTATCCATGCAGAGATCCATGAATTCGAACATCATCCACGATGTGCACCAAACAGTGAACATTCAGTGAAACAGCATGATTGCCATATATTGTAATTAATACATTAACAAAGTGCACAAACAATTTCTCTGCATACTCCAGGTGCTCGGCACATGACAGCAGACTGCGCAGAATGCTCATAGCTGTATGCAATGCCATGAAATTATCTGCCACTTGGTCAGGTACATTTGATCTTAAGACCACTGGACCAGTATAGAGCAAAAAAGATGGAATTCTGAAGCCTTCCACCTATCAATATCTGACAGGCTTCTGGGCTTTTGGGGCATCTGTGATGGCCACATATTGCCGTATTTCAGTGTTTGCTCCAGACACACTCTCTCTTGATTTTTTCCCAATTCTGTAAGTTTTCTGCCCTTTCATCCATAGCAGCAAGAGCTTATGAACAACACCTAGACATGCAAGGTGCATGTAGTCAAGAGGCACCTGCTTAATCAAGTCTATTGTAAGCTCCTTGAGGATTGTATCCGAAAGGTGGAGATCTTCTTGATCTGCATCACGAAAGCTTGAATCTGTTTGCAATGGAGTATTAAGTTCGAGGAAGCACATACGACCATGCTTATAGTCTCCTTCTGTTGTGCACTTAGGACAACTGAAGTAACCACTGTGGCCCTTAATGACAAGAATATAAGCCTTAGCTGGAGCATCACAGATTATTGCCCCAAGTTCCATACGGATAACCCTGTCTTTCACAGAAACACCTTCATGTAGGGCTGTTTTCATAATCCAACACATAGTGATGCAGGAAGACATTTGGCTCTAAGGCCTTGGACTGTCCATAATGAATACCAATTGGAAATGGTGTACTGCCTTCACAATTCACTGCTCTACAGAGAATGGGCCAAAACTGGTCCCGGGTGCTTTTGGTCTTGTCTTTTGTTTGTTTCTTTGTTTTCGTTTGTTTGCTTGTATTTGTTTTTCTTATGTACTCGCTCACTCGTAATGTAGTTTGATGCTTTCCCTGCAGTAGTTTCGAGGATTCATTATTTCACTAAATAACGAGTTGAGGTTAATTGCGAAAACTTTATGCAGCATCGTAGCAACGGCACTGTTACTCCTACACCTGGCCTTCATTAACTTGTATGTGCATATGACCTGTGAGACCAGACAATGTCTCATTGAGACAAACACTGTTTAAATATTACGTAGGCCACGTTGCTGAGAGCACCATCAAAATAATTCACAACGCTCATTTCGAGTTTCAATCGGTTAGAAAACGATTTTTATCAATAGTGCTCCCACGTGAATTAAACATTACCACTTGTGACGCGGTGTTTGATCAGGCCAGCAGTTTAAGAAAATCGGAATATATGGGCACATAATTCCTGGTGACTAGGTGTTTAGAGCAAATATTTACGGAATTCAAGCACACTAACATCTGAGCATTTCCCAAAATATTTTGTGTGTGACCATATACATTCTGAATATATTAAAAATTTTATGGTAGACCATCTAACGTCTCTTTTAGCAATACACACAACTTTGTCAAATCACCAGAGCCACGTGCATAAAAACTGATATATTAGGGAATTTGAAGAAACATCCTGATTTTATTTGTACTTTTTCGAGACACATGCTATCCCGGAGTGACCCCTAAGTTGGAATGAAGTTAGAATCATCACGTATATTCTTTTAGCACCAGTTTTCGGCGTAAGCAGTGACAATAATGAATGCGTTCCTGTAATATGCCGCCATTTTCACATGAACCTCTTACTTAAGCGAAAGTTTCCTCTTTAGATAATCACAACTTTCTGCAGTTCACTTAACTTCGATAGCAGTGCGAAAAGCTGCCTTCTACCTTAGTAGATGTGCATTGCAACGATGAGAAGTTGTCCCCACCGTATCCCGTAAGAGCGGGCACATGGCGGGCGCTGAAAAATGCCTTACTCGGCCGCAGAGTAAGCGAGTACTTGCCGTGATGTCACTTTGCCCTGACTGCCGCGCCGCCAGTGTTCGTTCTCATGGCTAATAGATGTTTGGGAAAAGGTGCAAGGATAAAATTTTTTTATTGTTTTTTTTTTTCATCTTTTCTTTTTTCTTGATAGGGTTGTCGCATGACTATGCACGCTACTTTAGTGATGAACTTGTCAATGAAAGAGAAAAAGAAATGTTTTATGCTGTCCAAAAACTCTTTTCTTCCTGTCTGTTCAGGTGCTGTGATCCCTGTAATTATGCATAAAAAATTAATCTCCTGTCAAACGTTCCTGCGGTGTGCTTTGTCAAAAATTGGTGAAAGCGATTGCCTAAGAGATGGCTTTTTAAAGTAAAGCTGATGATATATTGTATTCTTATTTTACAGGTGAAAGACGTACCCTGCTCAACAAAACTGATGCAGCTATTTCGGACATAACAAAAGAATGGGTCGTGTTCGCTTCAAATAAAGAAGCTGCACCTCTGCGCCATATGAGAAAAAGTTTCTAACAGAAGCCCAATCAACACTTCATAAGCGCGACAGAGCATATAATCTTCAAAGTAGTGTGGTAAATAAATGTGAAGCCCGAGAAATGTTTGCCTTGTGACTTATTTGGGGGGGGGGGGGGGGGGCATGCAAAGTTCTAGAAAGAAAGTAGTCGGGCATCAAATTGTAGCCAAGACAAAAAACTTGAATAAATGTGCCACAAATTTCATTGACCAAAATGCTTGGTTCCTATGCGAAGAACGAGCTTAGCTATACCATGGCATTTTAGTATAGCGCCAACCATAGAAAAGGGTGTTTCCAGTGACTTTCCAAGCGCGGCCTTCTTTTGCTTGGCTAGTGGGAGGCTTGTCAGACCAGCCAAGCAAATATGTCCCTTCGCATTCAATAATTTTCCAAGCATGAACAGCTTGGCCCCTGATGATTTACTTTGCTTGGTGCCAGCAAATGTTACTCGTAGGGTTGTTGCTGCCTATAGTAATAAAGTTGTTAAAACCCATCCTTTGATCGAACCTACATGAAAAGCAAACCTGTTAGGTTCGGACATTGATTATGTTGAGTAGTGTTAAGAAAGAGAATTCACCTACTAGCACCTTTTGTTTAGATGATCTGATGCTGACGCAGTAAACATGAAGCACTTGCTTCATTCATCACTTGACAAATGCGTTTGATTGTGCAGATAATCTCTGGTCAGTTCCTGACAGACAAGCATGTGGGCACGTATGTGGAAGTGGACATGTTCGGCCTTCCAGCTGACACTGTACGGCGGCGTTTTCGCACCCACACTGTGCAAGCGAATGGCATCAACCCTGTCTACGATGAAGAACCATTTGTCTTCAAGAAGGTTGTTCTCCCGGACTTGGCTGTTCTGCGCATTTCGGTGAGTAAAATGCTTTGAAATCGGCACAATCAATTGCTGTACTTTTGCTTATCTTACATATTTGAGAAATGTTATGTGTGTCACACTTACTAAATTTATTGATGCATGAAATTGGGCTAGTTTGATTTTAGATAGGGTTAGATCGATTTTGAGGACATGTTTAAACGGCCCGAGGGAGGTAGCACTGTCCTCGTGTTTTTTTCTTAGTGCTTACGCTTAAATTGATCTGCATCTGCGCAACACGTTGGGAGCATGTGCGCTTTCTTTCTAATGCGTTGTCTTCTTTGCACAGTTTAAACATGTCTTTACTACGTCTAATGCGTTGTCTTCTTTGCACAGTTTAAACATGCCTTTACTATGTCTATTCTGCTGCTGGGACCTGGAGGGAAGATCTCAGAAGGCACCAACTGTTTTCGTAAAAGCGCTGTCATCATTTTGCTTACCGAGCGGAGTGCTATACAAAAGAAACTTCTCTTCGACAGGATCTGCGTATTCGCTCGTCATCCCAGCAGCCCTTCGCTCCGAAGTACTCGAAGCATGCCACAACGAGGTGACTTCAGGCCACTTAGGTTACACAAGAACGTTGGCCAGAGTACGGCAGCGCTACTTCTGGCCAAGACTGACCGTAGCCGTAAAACACCATGTTCGTACTTGCCTCGACTGCCAGCGACGGAAGTCACCGCCGACTAAACCAGCTGGCCTTCTGCAGCCCGTGCAGGTCCCAAGAACACCTTTCGACCAGATTGGCATAGATATTTTGGGCCCACTTCCTACTTCTACTGCTGGGAACCGCTGGGTTATTGTCGCGACTGATTACCTTACCCGTTATGCTGAGACAAAGGCTATCCAGAGAGGTACAGCAGCGGAGGTGGCACAATTTTTCATCGAGAACGTTGTCCTGCGGCATGGTGCACCAAGCGTCGTAATCACAGACAGAGGAACCGCATTTACGGCAGCTCTTTCGGAACAAGTCCTCATGCTGAGTGGAACAACCCATCGCAAGACCACCGCCTACCACCCGCAAACGAACGGGCTTACAGAGCGTCTGAACAAAACAATTGAAGACATGCTTTCAATGTACGTAGACGTCGAACACAAAAATTGGGACGAAATCTTGCCATATATCACGTTTGAATACAACACTGCCAAGCAAGAAACAACCTAGATGACCCCGTTCAGCCTAATTCACGGAAGGGAAGTACGAACCATGTTAGATGCGATGCTAGCGCACGAATGGGACGACATCGAACCGGACGCCGAGATGTTTACAGAACGAGCGGAAGAAGCAAGGCAACTAGCACGCCTGCGAATCCAGCAACAACAAGAGTACGATGTGAGCCGCTACAATTCTCGCCGCAGAACAGTCGTTTACCCAGACCGGCGACAGAGTATGGGTTTGGACGCCCATACGGAAACGAGGACTCTCTGAAAAGCTCCCGAGGAGACACTTTGGGCCATATCTAGTACTGCGACGACTGAGTGATGTTACCAACGAGGTTGTCCCCGACAGTTCATATAGTACGAGGCTTCGCCAGCACCGTCCTGAATTAGTTCACGTTGTGCGCATGAAGCCTTATGAAAGTGACTGCGCAAGACACTTCTTAAAGAACAGACAAACAAAAACTGCACTACTGGTTTAGCATCGGGGCGATGCTCATTAAGAGGGGGGGGGGGCAAATGACGCGTGTGTACTGGTGGACCAAAACGACAATAAGGGGATTTGGCGGACACCAGGTAGTGGAGCTCTGGCTGAAAAAAGAAAAAGAAGGCGATCTTGCTGTTCGGCTGCTGAGAGTCGCTCTGTCAACGTTCATCTGCCCTTGGTTCGCGCTGCACCGCGACAATATTTCCTATTCAGTTCTGCCGACATATGTGTCTCTGTATGGGCATAGAATCATTTACAAGTTTACATGTTGATAGCTTGTGTATATGCAACAAATTTACTGCATTTACTCCCACTTTTTTTGGCAGAAAACCGATACAAAGTTGGGGGGTGCAAGAATTACGCAGAGAAAACTTTTCACGAAAACATACAGAGCGAAAAAGAAAATGAAATGGCCGCAAATCAAGATTCTCACGCAAGCAAATAACAGCAAGCTTTGAGAAGTACTAACTAAAATTTACCTCAACGATAAAAGCAGAGGTTCAATACAAGGCAAGATTTATTTGAGACACTAAAAAGTGCAAGCAACTAGGATAGGCAAAGCTTGTGGGCGTTGCGGGCGTAACGGTAGCGTTCGTCGCTCAACAGGAGCCCTCAAAATGTAAGCGTAGGACGTCAGTATTTAGCTGATGGCTATTAAACAGAATCGTCCACAGTTTCCTTCTGAAGAAATAAAGTTCACCATCAATCTCAGTCTTAGGCACACGGCAGGCCCAACGCGTCTTGGTGGTTTTCAGCTGTCGTCACCAGTAGCAAACACAAAACTTGTCGACTCCGAAGGGCCTACTGGAGGTTTTGTTGCCGTTGTTTAGTGCATGATCAATCACTTTCAACTTGAAAGCAGCCGTGTAGCCTCAGTATCGCCCCATGACGTGACAAGATTGCTGACACAACATACAAAACACGCCGCAGTGTGCACTTGCCGCTTCGGCTTTGGCTTAGATTGGATTGAATTTTTATGCAGTAATAGTATGCTTGATTCTTAAGAGATGGTGCCAGGTGTCGCGCGCTATCATCATCAACCGCTGGAACAAGCAGACGACAATATTGCGACACTTTTCGGTGGTGCAACAATTACTTGAGGAAAAAAAGAAAACGTATTTTTGTTGGGCTATTGGGGGGGGGGGGGGGGGGGGTACGAGAATTATGCGAGCGCGAGGAATATGTGAGTAAGTAGTAAGTACAGTATATGGCTACACCTGCTTATAGCGAACCTTGATATAACAGAATCCTCAATATAATGAAGTTTTAAAATTCCTTGTCAGTTGCTCCATAGAAGCTCATGTATTTGCAACCTTTGTATAACAAAGTAACAGCAGGAGACAACCTTGACATAACAAATTTTCCCCATGGGCAATCTAGAAATTTTGCTCCTCATTTTGTTATGAGCATGCATCTTCCGCGGCTGCCCCGCGGCCAACAAGGCACGAAGCCGCGCGGCGTGCACGGCGTACCAGGCGAGAGCAAGCGCTCGTTATTGCGCACAAGTAAGCGCGAGGCGGGTGGGTGGGCCTGCACCCTATGAGCTGGCGTTGTTGCCATTGTCGTCGCTGCAGGCGCATGCGCAAGTGTGTCCCACCCAATCCAAACAAAAATAAATAAAGAGAAAAAAAAACTACCTTTGCGCGTTGGCAGTGCAATGCTTTAGCTTGCGTCACATATGTGGGGCCACGCTGCATATGAAGGAGCGCTTTACCTAATAGTTTTCTGCAGTATCCGTGTCTCTGTCCGTGTCGTTTGCTCTTCGTTTTCAATGCCGTGAGCGCTTGCAAAGTTTCCCTGTGCATGCATGGTGTGGCCTCCGACGATGTTCAGTTCTGCTTTTTTTATTACCATAACATTTATGCACAGAGTCCCGGCTGAAGTATTGCAGTCGCCGCCGCAGTCGTCATTCATTATATATGTACGTATCTAAAATGAAAACTCAAGAAAAAAAAAAGAAGCCACTCAGGCTCCAAACGGAATGTCATTTCTTCTGGAAAGTATCGCAGTGATGCAACCAGCATCAAAACCAGCGAGCGAGCCGGGCTAAGGCAATCTTCGGCAACTCTTGTGTGCGTCTTACGCAATGCATGGCGAGCCCCTCGTCCATGAGTGCAATTCCAGCCGCAATCAATGGGGGTTCAGATTTGGAGGCTTCGAACTACTTGCTGACACAATTGATCATCAGGGCCTATGAAAAAACCAAGCAGCATGATGAAAACCAGCATCCAAGAGCGTTCAAAGAAATCTTGGCTCATCGTCGCACCTCAGTGCGAGCTCCTTAAGCTGTTGGCCCCAGTGTCGAACATGTAACGCCTCTGTTTATATATACATAATTGTTGCCTTAATTTACCGTCGCCTTGTCTGCTCCGTCTATCAGCTCTGCGAAGATGCAGCCACGAGCTGAGACGCACGATACCGTACCCCCTTAAATATCCTTTCCAGAGCATTACATAATGGGGGACAAAAACATAAATAACAGCACAATCATGATAATGCAATGATAGAAAAAATTAAAAAAATGTTTCCAAAAATACAGAATACATCATATCACTTTCAAAAGTGAAGTGAAGACAGTGCGATAGGCAGAATATAAATACCGTTACAAGAAGCATAGTACGCAAAATAACACTGCAATGGTGGAAGATTACGTGTTGAGAAAGCATCAAAGTATGTGCCTAAATTTATTGGAGTCTTGCTCATTCACTATTTGTTCGGGCAGCGTGTTCCATAGCTCAATAGCAGCTGGTAGGAAGAATTCGTGTAATGCTTCAGTGGTGTCATGTAAGCGTTGAATAAAGAGGTCATTAAACAGACGGTGCATGGTGCGGTTGGGTGGAGAAAAAATAGTGTCTCTGAGGGGAGGGAATTTATTGTACAGTTTGTAGAAAACAGAAAGTCGTAAAATCTTACAGCGGAGAGATAGTCTAGGTATACTGAGGGAAGATTTGATGGAAGTGCTAGTCATAGTTTCAAGCAATAAAACGTACCACGCGATTCTGTACTGCTTCGAGTGACTCAATAGGACAAGTCTAGTGAGTGTTCCAAATCGCTGAAGCATACTCAAGTTTTATCGGAATGAACATTTTGTAAGCTAGTTTGTGGACAGGGATTAGGGATAGAAAGAGTGATCGCTTGAGGAGGCCATGCGATTTTGAGCAAGCTTATATAAGGTTTGTTACGTGCGATGTCTATGTGAGTTGCTCGGTGATTGTAACTCCGAGATATCGGTAAACAGCAGACTTGGGTGAGCGCCGAATATTTGAGAGTACTGGTAATTCAAACTTGTGTGCTTGTGGTACATTGTTCTTGCATTTGGAAACTTTGATGGACATAAGCCAGATAGACCACCAAT